CCAGAAGATCCAAATTCCCCATCATGTGCCCATTTCTCTGGGCCACGCTGTGCTTTACACAGCAAGGCTGACACATTGAGATGATAAATCCCTCACCCAAAGTGAAGATTTGTCCAGTGAACGATTTAGAGAGATTTAAAATCAGCCTGGCAAACCATGAAGGCTTGTTCTTACCTGATGTGGGTTTTACTCTTGAATGGGAGGAAACTGGGTTATTTGGTCACCCAGAAAAGATTTCTTGGTCTTGTTATTCATGTCAGATGTATAAATTCTCCTCGGTGGAGTCTCTCTTCATTAGAAGTGATCCCAAGAGGTTTTACACGTTTCTCTCAGGATGTCTAAAGGATTGTTTTATCCATCTGAACTGCAGGGAGCTCCAGGGATGAAATGCTCCAAGCATGTCACAGGAGAATTCTTTGGAATAATAGTGGAAGCGTTTTGCATCCTGCAAAACCCACCTGCTCTGTGTTTCAGTTCTTGGGGGAATCCAAAAGAAATTGGGATTAAAACTGTCATTTATTGGCTGAAGCTTTCCAGGCAGCCACAAGAATTTGCAGCCCATGAAGATGGCAAATGTCAGATTGGGCATTTTGCTCAAAGGCTGATAGATCCCATGTGTTTTTTTTTTAATCACCACCACAATTTCTCTCAAACCAACTTTCCCAGGCTTTGTGGCAAGCAGGTCTTTGTACCCACTGACTCCCCGTTCATAGCCCTCAGGCAGGAGACCAGCTCCTCAGGGACCAGTGTTTGCTCCTGAACATCCCTGGCCAACGTTTGTCCCCACTGGTTCTCCAGGAGAGACCCAGGTCCCCCCTGGGCTGAGCTGAACACGTGGCTTTGCCCACTCCGGCTGCTGTTTAAGATGAGGTTGATCTTCTCCAGCAGACAGACGTGGTGGCCTCCTCCCTCCCCATCCCACAGGTGAGGAACAGGGCTTGTGTAGTCCTTGAAGAAGACGTTCAGCTCTGGCTCTGGGAGGGCTGCAGGGGGTTGTGTTGGGTCAACGTTGGCAGCTACGTACCCCAGCGGGTTCGTGTCGGACACCTGAGGTTTGTAGTCACTGATCTGCTGGGGGGTGGTGATGTTGGTGGGCACCATGCTCCTCGGGTGCTTCTCGTCCTTGAGGACCTCTCTGCTGGTCTTCCTCCTGGTGGCCACGTTCTTGTACTCCTTGTGCACGGGCACTTCCTCAATTTCCATGACTGCAGGGTCACTGGCATCCAAGAATGGCTCATGGAAGCTGTGACTTGGGAAATCACTCTTTTCCTGGAAAAAAAACAATGAGTGTAGTGACCAACTGGCAAATTTTACCATCAGAAGAGCTGTCGTTAGAGTGTCCCAAGGAAGGAACAGGGTAATGACTTGTTGTCTCCATCTCATGTTCCTTCCCACTCATTTCATCCAACCCCCCAGTGAAAGAGACTGCAGTGAGGTGGACAAAGGCAGTTGTGCCTGTCTCTACACTTCTTCATGCACTTCAAGGGTCAACTGTCTCCACTAAATGAAGAATATTTGAGGCAAAGTTTAAAGACCCTTCGAGCTTAATCCTCTCTCCCCATTGGATTTTCTCACAGCTCTGGAGCAAGCTTTAATCTAAGGGCAGATAAGTGAAGAAAAGCTGGGAGATAATGGTGCAGTTACCTGGAGTGACTTCACCACGTTGCTGTTTTCCATGTGGGGAAAGTCTTCAACCAGCCATTTTGGCAAGAGTGACACAACGATGGAGTTAATTCTTTACAAGAAATTAAAAAAAAAAAAGAATGAAACCCAAGATGTTAGTTCATTTTATTAGTCACTTCTTCTTCAGGCAGGATGAAATTGTCCCCTGGAAGGAGTGGCACATGAAGTGCATCCATCCTTCAGGGATGGCTTGGAAGCCCCAGGTTTGCCCTGTGTGGTGGGTTTCCCCATTTGAACTCCAGTTCTTCACTTCTCAGGATTATTCAGTACTTATAGGGAGTCTATAAAGAAGGTGGAGACAATCTTTTGAGCAGGGCCTGTTGGGACAGGACGAGGGGGGATGGCTTTAAACTCAAAGAGGGAGATTTAGACTAGAAAGAAGAGGGTGGTGAGACCTTGGCCCAGGCTGCCAAATGAAAATTCCTTGCAAGAGATTTGGATTTGGCTGAGCTTTGCTGAAGTTCTGCTGCATTGCTGAGTGTGAAAAGAGCCTCTGGTGCAGCTGAAGTGCTCGTGTTTCACAATTCCACTGAGAGCAGAAGAGTCTGCCTGGCCTTGAGAACTGAAAGAGGCATCAGCCCCTACCTCCAGGGCTCCTCTCCCCTATTTCTTGCTTTGTGGGGAAGAGCCAACCAGTAGCTCTGTGCCACAGAGGTCCCCCATCCCCCAGGGTTTGGGGACAGCAGTGCCTGGATTCCTGCACAGCCCTATTCCAGTTAAACCAGCACGCTGGGATAGATGAGCACTGGTTTGGGAGGGTGCCTTGTCAACAGCAGTGCTAAAAAACCAGCATGAAGATCCTTTTGAGTCTTCCAGCTGCTCCACTCTCTGGACCTGAAGGTCCAGCCCTGAGGAGCTTCAGCATCCCCACCTCAGTCACAACTGGGAGGAACAACTCCTGGGATAAACCTGCCCTGCAGAGATTTTTTTTTCCTCTCTTTTTCTACCCCTGCCCTTATATCTCTGCAATAACGTGTGTTCCTAAGACTGGCCTTTAGAAAGGAATGATTTTGTACTTTTTTGGTTGGTCTCTGCCTTAGTGTGGAGCACACAAATGTCTTTTTTTTTGTACAGCAATCTGATTAATGGGTGAAGCTGCCCTTGGTAAGAGCAGGCTGTGGGGAAAAGGACCAGATTCTGTAGTTAACTTTAAATTATTCTGGAAGAAATATATGAGTTGAACATAAAAAAAATGCAGAGGAAAAAGCAATACCTTTTTCTGGCTGACTTTTTAAGCATCAGAGCTACAAAAACCACTGATAAGATGACCACGGTGACGCCCAGTCCCAGGAAAACTCCAACATCATCATCTGAGAAAGGACAGAGAGGAAAAAGCTCAACAGGGTGACCTTGCTCCACCACCTCATCTGCACCACGTTCAGGGTACCCAGGGTGGTGTCCAGGTGGGTTTGGGATTTCTCCAGAGCAGGAGACTCCACAAAGTTGTGCTATATGTTAACATCATCTCACATCTTCCTTGTTTTATCTCCTACTTAGTGTGAGTCTCATAAGAAAGCAAAACTCAAGGCATGCATGATGTGGGTGATCCTCACCCGTGACAGCCCTGCAGCCTTTCCTGCCACGTGGATCATGTCCCCATCATGTCAAAAGTTGCTTTTCAGGCCCTGACCTCTCCATACCACAAGGGACCTTTCACTTCCCCATCACCAACAACGTTGTGGGACAAAAGTCCCACTTCAGGTCAAGGAGAAAGTCTGGGTTACCAAGTTTGAGCCACTATCTTCTTACCGTGGGAGATATTGCTGGAGGTGCTGCCCAGGAGCTGCTCCTCTGAAGGGACTGAAACAGAGAGAGGGAAAAAATGTCCATGACTTCATTTACAGGACTCTGGGTGACATAGAAGCTACAGCTTGGTTTAATTTTTTTCATATTATTTAGAAAACCAAATAATGGCATAATAAGAAAAATAAAGCCCCCGTGAAGTAATTAGTAACTCCAGCTCTGGTTGGACTCTCCATGATCTCCTGTTTCTCAGAGATCAAATTAAAAGAGATGTTGATGAACACACAACACCAATTGCAAAGCATCTTCCAAGTCCATCGTTTCCCTCAGCACCCAAGGCAAGGGTTTGGTCTTCCTGAGGAATTGTACAGCATTTTTTATGAGCTAATGGAGCCCAAGTACTCCAGTTCTCCTAGTTCTCTGTCTGCAGGACAAGCCCACCCAGGTGGGGAGCACTGCAGCCACTGCCAAGTAGCTCTTGAGTAGAACTGTGGAGTCGTTTTGGTTGGAAGAGACCT